TTTTGATTTCATTCTGATTTTGGTCAGCGGCGCAAGTCGATGTATAAGCAATATCTTTGCTTTTGCAAGTTGTCGGCAGTCGCAGTCGAAAAATGAGAAATTTCTAGCTTCTGCAAGCGGGCAGCAACGACAGTCAATTGGTATTTTGTGTTTGCTTATGATTTCTTCAGAGCTCGCAGATTACTGTTGACACTTGCGAAGTGTTCGAAAAATACAGTTGAATTTTGGCAATTCTTTTTGTTGAAAGCGTTGCTCAGTTTCTCCATACAAAAAAATTGTCGAACAAGAAATTGCCAAAAATCAACCTAGCTACTTCAAACTTGCATTTTATTGTACTAAAATTTCTTATGCCACAAAATTCTATACCCTAAAAAAGATTTAAAATTTTTATGAACATTTCGCTAATTTTTGCTCAAATTTCTTTATTCCATGTACGAATACATATATACATATGTTCATATACAAATATTTAAATTTAACTATTTTCACAAACTAAACTCTTTTTAATACATATATGCGTCATATTTAGAACAAGTGGTTAATTTTGCCTTAATGAATCTACATACATACATATGTACATATGTTTGTGAAAATCAGGCAAAACTGCATTGCACACTGCGTTATTTCGATAACAAAGTATGCGTTAAAAAGAATCTCGGTTAAAAAACCTTAGCTTACATTCTACATACATACATATGTACACAGATATATTTTTTTATGTTTGTACACACAGGTCATTTGGTAATACCATAACACATGTACATACATATATGTATATGTATTATTTTCAGGATTTTTAATGATGGGGTTAGGATCTATTGTTTTATGTTTAAAAGGAGTTTTTTTAGTTTAGGAGAAACGTTCATGATGCATATAAATATCCGTCTAGGAAACCTTGAGACTCCTTAGCAAGTGTTTATCTATGCATAATTTCTGCATTGTTAACGATGTGGTCAGTTTGGAAAAAAACATCAATTAATGCATAGAAATATCCGCATATGCAACCTTAAAAACCCTGAGTATCTTTACTACAATCCTAACTACGCAATGAACAAAAGAACAAAAAATTCGTTTGGTTTGTACTCAGCTGTAATTAAAACCCATCGTGTATTGTTAGCAGCGTTGCCAGGTTGACGTTTTTAACGTCATTTGGACGTTTTTTGTATCCTGTTGCGTTTTGAGGTTTTTTGTGTAAAAACTGACGTTTTTTACCTTCCCAGTAATTTTTCTCTGTTACTAAATCTAGTAAGTAGAACCGATTTTGAATTATTTTCATAATAAATCTTATATTAACGATATCAAACCAGTTTACAATGAATTTTAAATGTGCTCTGTAGAAATGACATTTTAATATACCTTGCGTACATATGTACCTTTGCATACAACAAAAGTTTAATAAGAACAATTCTGGGTGCATACATTTGAAAAAGACGTTTTTGGGTAGGAAATGACGTTTTTTCAGACCAAGAGGGACGTTTTCTCATGTCGAAGACCTGGCAACGCTGATTGTTAGTGCGCGCTAACAGTACAAAAGGAACAACAACTTTTCGTACCTGTTTTGGAAGTGGGTATCTCTACCCGTTCATAGTAGGTTGAAAACTTAAAAAATCAAAAGTTTGAAATTTGTTAAGTAGTGTTGTTTTTTTTATTAATATATTAATTATTATTTATTTCATATTGAAAAATTTAAATCAAAAATAAAAGAAAAATACAGTCTTCATTGAATTCATTGCTAATTATAACATAAAAAATAAGAAAATTATGACTAGATATTATTCATCTGGTGTATCTTCGAAGAGAGGTAAAGTTTCTATAGCTGTGTCAAGAAAACTTGGGTTCAGTTTTACCAACAAAATATTTTCGAGTGTCTCCTGACTAAGCTGATTACGGTAATCAGTAAGAACCAGCCTTAGTGTTGAAAATGCTCGCTCAATTGTGACCTGTTAAAAACGAAATTTGTAAAGCCTTAGTGAATATGTACTGGTACATAGATATGTATATCAGGGTGGCCACTATTTCCTAAGCTGTTTTTTCTCGCCCTCTCAATTTTAAGTTTCTGTATAGATAGTTGTGCAATGGAAAAAGGGTCCTAATTTTCAAATTAACACAATCCAATCATGTTAAATTTTCCAAATAACATTGTCTGAGATTTGTGGACTCTGCATTTAATACTTTTGAGCAGCAGGAAAAAAACAACTTGGGAAATAATGATGAAAACGTTATATTAACCTGAGTTGGCGGGACTGCAAAACAAACATTACTTAATTCGTACAATTCTGGGTCAGTGTACTGCTTTCCCTTCCAAAATTTTAGCACATCGTCAATTCTTTGGAAAGGCAGTTGGAGATGCTCAATTCTTGCATACGCGTCGAACGTATTGTTGATTTCGGCTTGGGTTCCTTGTACTAAATATTGATACATGAGTTCATCTTCTTCATCAAAAAAGTTGCCGGCCGGTGTGGAAGCAGATGTTGGCGCGGAGTATAAGGGTCCAATAGGATTATTTTCATGGATTCTGTCCCAAATTGTTTTTAAATGAAGAGTAGCTTCGGTTTATTGCTGTGCAGTTAAAGTATGTTGAAAGCGAGGGTCCAGAAACAAGCACGAAATTAAAAATTTATTATTAAATAACGTTATTGTTCGTGTTTCTATTGATTTCAAAATCATGTTTCCAATTGTTGTTATTAGCTCCTGACTTGAATCGCTTACAATTTTTTCGGTGCTTATTTTTAGTTTAAGCCACTGTGCGTAAAAGT